GACAAGGGCCCCCGGAGGCCCAGGTTCCCCAAACTGCCCCCCAGTCCCGGTCGCCCTCGCCCCGCCCCCTCGCCCCCCGGAGGGGGGTGCAGTGAGGGCCCCCCCAGCGCACCTCGGCCGGCCCCGCCCCCGCGACTCTTCTCCTCTTTCCTGAAAAGGGGGGTCCAGTGCGGGGGTCGGGGGAAAAGAAGGGGGAGAAAGGAGGGGGGGGGGAAGGGCCAAGGGCCCCCGCTGACTGTGACCAGAGCCGGATCGAGGGGGACAGAACCTGACCCGCGCTCGCTCAGCAGCAAGAGGTCAGGTGGAAACATCATCCCACTGCGCTGTTAAAAGGGAGAGTTTGTCGTAGGGTTAGGCTTGATGAGGACATTTTTAATAGCTGGTTTGTGGTTTGGGGGTCTTAGCTAGCTAGCCCGAGGGCAAAAGAGTTTTGGTCGTGTCTAAGTGGCGATTTTAATCTGAGCTGATCAGTGTGCTCTTCAGTAGGAAAATTTGTTTTGACTGGATTACAGTACTCTGGATTACAGTACTCTGGATTACAGTACTCTGGATTACAGTACTCTGGATTACAGTACTCTGGATTACAGTACTCTTCAAACTGCTATGTGAAGTGAGTAAGAACAGAAGTGCATGAATGTGTAATGATTGTGGTGTTTGAGATGTGGCTTCAGGAAAGCCTTTCCTTCGGTTCCTTTTGTTCCTTCTGTATGTAGGATTTCATTTCATTCTCAAAGCACAAGGTCATGGCAATATATAGTCACAATAGTGGTGATATATAGTCACAATAGTGATGATATATAGTCACAATAGTGGTGATATATAAAAAAAAATTTGTGATCCAATTGACATTTTAGTAATTTAGCAGACTTTCTTATCCAGAGCGACTTACAATTAGTGAGTGCATACATTTCACATACTGACCCCCACAATAGTGATGATATATAGTCACAATAGTGATAATATATAGTCACAATAGTGATGATATATAGTCACAATAGTGGTGATATATAATCACAATAGTGGTGATATATAGTCACAATAGTGATGATATATAGCACAATAGTGATGATATATAGTCACAATAGTGATGAATGACATAGTCACAATAGTGATGATACATTGTCACAATAGTGATGATACATAGTCACAATAGTGGTGATATATAGTCACAATAGTGATGATACATAGTCACAATAGTGATGATATATAGTCACAATAGTGATGATATATAGTCACAATAGTGATGATATATAGTCACAATAGTGATGATACATAGTCACAATAGTGATGATACATAGTCACAATAGTGGTGATATATAGTCACAATAGTGATGATATATAGTCACAATAGTGATGATACATAGTCACAATAGTGGTGATATATAGTCACAATAGTGATGATATATAGTCACAATAGTGATGATACATTGTCACAATAGTGATGATACATAGTCACAATAGTGGTGATATATAGTCACAATAGTGATGATACATAGTCACAATAGTGATGATATATAGTCACAATAGTGATGATTATAGTCACAATAGTGATGATACATAGTCACAATAGTGATGATATATAGTCACAATAGTGATGATACATAGTCACAATAGTGGTGATATATAGTCACAATAGTGATGATATATAGTCACAATAGTGATGATATATGGTCACAATAGTGATGATATATAGTCACAATAGTGATGATATATAGTCACAATAGTGGTGATATATAGTCACAATAGTGATGATATATAGTCACAATAGTGATGATATATAGTCACAATAGTGATGACATAGTCACAATAGTTGTGATATATAGTCACAATAGTGGTGATATATAGTCACAATAGTGATGATATATAGTCAAATAGTGATGATATATAGTCACAATAGTGATGATATATAGTCACAATAGTGATGATATATAGTCACAATAGTGGTGATATATAGTCACAATAGTGATGATATATAGTCACAATAGTGATGATATATAGTCACAATAGTGGTGATATATAGTCACAATAGTGATGATATATAGTCACAATAGTGATGATATATAGTCAAAATAGTGATGATATATAGTCACAATAGTGATGATATATAGTCACAATAGTGATGATATATAGTCACAATAGTGGTAATATATAGTCACAATAGTGGTGATATATAGTCACAATAGTGATGACTTTATTCAACCCCTTTCCTATACTTCTATCATTTCTTGTATAGAATAGACAGTAAGGGAACCATGCAGTTACAGACAACAGTAGACTACAATAGGAATACGTAACGGCTCTCCTCTTTGGGTCTAAGTGTTCTCTCTATCTCTCTCTCTCTCTGCTCTCTGAGGTCATGCCTTAGATAAGGGACTCATTTAGTGAAGCGAGGCTCCATTCGGGTCCTCTGAAAGGTTTGTCTGAGCTGAGGTTGTCTCTTCCTGGCTGACTGGCTGGCTGACTGGCTGGCTGACTGGCAGGCTGACTGGCTGGCTGACTGGCCGGTCCCAGTCCCACTAGTTCCCTTTCTCTCCCTGATCAGTGGTTATTTTAAGACCCTGCTCCTTCCTTCAGTGTCTACAGTGATTTAATTTACTTTTTTCTGTAGTGATGCTTTAATTATTCATTGCCAGAGCCTTTGTGTGTGTGTGTGTGTGTGTGTGTGTGTGTGTGGTGTGTGTGTGTGTGTGTGTGTGTGTGTGTGTGTGTGAGTGAGTGAGTGAGTGAGTGAGTGAGTGAGTGAGTGAGTGAGTGAGTGAGTGAGTGAGTGTGACAAAGCCTTTGTTTATCTCTCCTGTAGTGAAGTGTAGAGATGCAGAACCAGAACGGTTGACCTGACTACTAACTTTTGGGTTTGAGTTTAGGGTTAATGGTTTTTGAATGCCTCCAGGCATGGTGGTAAAGGTATCATGTGTTAACTGACTGGACATTGTCTGAGACTGAACAATGATGGTATAGATGAGCTGAGCTATATATATATATAACATCATGTCTTTGTCGTTTGTAACGCTTAGCTGTTTGTTCTGTGTAGCTTTAAGCGACGATGTTTGTCTTACACACAAATGCAAATGTGTCCATGTACGTGTTCTTGGAATGAATATAAAATTGAATGTGTTAAAATGTGTCTTGTGTGTGTTTTCCTCCAGCCTGTCCAGGTAGACCAGAAGGAAGACCCTGAGGAAGACTCTGAGGAAGAGGGGGGGAAGGAGGGAGAGAAAGACAAGGAGGGAGGAGAAGAGGAGGAGGAGCCCAAACCTGAGGGAGAGGAAGAGGAGGGAGAGGGAGAGGAAGAAGCTAAACCTCCTAAGGCTCCCCGTCGACCCAGGATCATGCAAATTAAAGTTACACTGCTGGACGACACTCTGTTTGAGTGTGAGCTGGATGTAAGTCCCAATATTACCAAATCATTCCTTTATTATAGCGGGTATTCTGGGATACATAGCCTGGGGGACCCAGGTCGGTTTGTGCTGTCTTGACAAATCCTATTAAATTGTCCGATTTTTATATATGTCATGCCGTGTTTGGCATGGCTGCTTGGCATGACAATTCAATATGATTTGGCAAGACAGCACAACCAGACCTGGGATCTGTAGGCTAGGGATACATCCAGTATTGGAACAAAACTATCCTCCACCACTTCTCAGACAATGTTGTTTTTGTCATTGGTCAGCAGTAGCCTAACTACCAGCCTGCTACTGTAAGGTCCCTGGGAAACACACCGACATTCTGTTTGTCATTGGTCAGCAGCAGCCTCACTACCAGCCTGCTATAGAAGATCTCAGAAATTCTCTCAAAGATTGTGCACAAATTTGTTTACATCTCTGTTAGTGAGCATTTCTCCTTTGCCAAGATAATTACATTTACATTTTAGTCATTTTAGCAGATGCTCTTATGATAACGGCACATCGACAGATTTTTCACCTAGTCAGCTCGGGGATTAGAACCAGCGACCTTTCGGTTACTGGCACAACGCTCTTACCCACTAAGCTACCTGCCGCCCGCTAATCCATCCACCTGACAGGTCTGGCATATCAAGAAGCTGATTAAACAACATGATCATTACACAGGTACACCTTGTGCTGGGTACAATAAAAGGCCACTCTAAAATGTGCAGTTTTGTCACACAACACAATACCATAGATGTGTCAAGTTTTGAGGAAGCATGCTGTTGGCATGCTGACTGCAGGAATGTCCACCAGAGCTGTTGCCAGAGAATTGAATGTTCATTTCTCTACCACAAGCCGCATCCAACGTTGTTTTAGAGAATTTGGCAGTACGTCCAACCGGCCTTACAGTCACAGACCACGTGTAACCACGCCAGCCCAGGACTTCCACATCCGGCTTCTTCACCTCCGGGACTGTCTGAGACCAGCCACCCGGACAGCTGATGAAACTGAGGAGTATTTGTGTCTGTAATAATGCCCTTCTGTGGTCATTCTGATTGGCTGGGTCTGGCTCCCAAGTGGCTGGGACTATGCACCCCTGCCCAGTCATGTGAAATCCATAGATTAAGGCCTAATGTATTTATTTCCATTGACTGATGTCCTTATATGATCTGTAACTCTGTAAAATCGTTGGAATTGTTGCGTTTTGCGTTTATAATTTTGTTCAGTTTACATCACAGAAGACTGAAATATACCAAAACCGTTTGACATAGAAAGACCGGATTTTCGGCGTTAAAAAAATATAGAATGTTTATTAATTATGAATGTATGAAAAATATTAATAACATTCCACCCGTAAGGCCACTAGAGGGCGATTTGGTCATTTAACTGCAGGAAAGAGGTCTACTGTATAAGTCCCAATTGACACCCTATTCCCTACATAGTGCCCTACTTATGACCAGAGACCTATGGGCTCTGGTTACAAGTAGTGCACACTATATAGGGAATAGGGTGCTATTTGGGACATAAATTGAATGACTGGCTTCTCTCCTGTTTTTTTAAACATGCCAAATGACATACATAGTTAAAGACAGGTTTATTGTGGCTCTGTATGACATCTCTCTCTTGCCTTTAGAAACATGCCAAAGGTGTGGAGCTGTTCACCAAGGTGTGTGACCACCTCAACCTGCTGGAGAGAGACTACTACGGTCTGGCAATCTGGGAGTCGCCCTCCATGAAGGTCTGTTGCTCTTAAGTCAGGGGTTCCCAAACGTTTTTGCTTTGTGACCCACAAATTGCTGTGTCTTTTGAGTTGTGACCTGATTGGGTGAATACCCGGGGCGCGAGGTGTTTGGAGTTGTCAACAAAGCAGCATGACAGAAATATAATGCCACGTTTTCGAACTACCGGTAGTTTCTTTGAGAAGATATATAAAGCGATCTGTGCATTTGAACAACAGCATAACTACACCTATTTCACTTTTGCGTGTCAAACACCGAATGACCACTGCTGCACACGCTTCCACTGTTTTGAACAGATTAGATTATACTATTATATTATATGATAGTAGATTATACTATTTAGAACGAGCAGGCAGCTCACGCACAAACGAGTGCACCAGGGAGAACGCAACAAGCATGCAGATGAAATAAGTGAAAACACATTATCTAACTGGGGATAGCTAGCTAACATAATGTCACAAAGCATGGACCACCCATACGTAAAAATGTATGCACACATGACTGTAAGTCGCTTTGGATAAAAGCGTCTGCTAAATGGCATATTATTCTGAAATACACTATATATACAAAAGTATGTGGACACCCCTTCAAATTAGTGGATTCGGCTTTGTCAGCCACACCCGTTGCTCACAGGTACATAAGAATTAAGCACACAGCCATGCAATCTCCATAGACAAACATTGGCAGTAGAATGGCCTTAATGAAGAGCTCAGTGACTTTCAACGTGGCACCGTCATAGGATACCACCTTTCCAACAAGTCAGTTCATCATATTTCTTCCCTGCTAGAGCTGCCCTGGTCAACTGTAAGTGCTGTTACTGTGAAGTGAAAACGTCTAGGAGCAACAATGGCTCAGTTGAGAAGTGGCAGGCCATACAAGCTCACAGAATGGGACCGCCGAGTGCTGAAGCGCGTAAAAATCATATGTCCTTATTATCTACACTCACTACCAAGTTCCAAACTGCCTCTGGAAGCAACGTCAGCACAAGAACTGTTCATCGGGAGCTTCATGAAATGGGTTTCCATGGCTGAGCAGCCGCACACAAGCCTTAAGATCACCACGCGCAATGCCAAGCGTCGGCTGGAGTGGTGTAAAGCTCGCCACCATTGGACTCTGGAGCAGTGGAAACGCATTCTCTGGAGTGATGAATCACGCTTCACCATCTGGCAGTCCAACGGACAAATCTGGGTATGGCGAAGGCCAGGAGAACGCTACCTGGCCAAATGCATAGTGCCAACTGTAAAGTTTGGTGGAGGAGGAGTAATGGTCTGGGGCTGTTTTTCATGGTTCGGGCTCCTTAGTTCCAGTGAAGGGAAATCTTAACGCTACGGCATACAATGACATTCTAGACAATTCTGTGCTTCCAACTTTGTGGCAAAAGTTTGTGGAAGGCCCTTTCCTGTTTCAGCATGACAATGCCCCTGTGCACAAAGCGAGATCCATACAGAAATGGTTTGTCGAGATCGGTGTGGAAGAACTTGACTGGCCTGCACAGAGCCCTGACCTCAACCCCGTCGAACACCTTTGGGATGAATTGGAAGCAAATTTCCTGCAATTCTATACAGTATGACATAACTAATGCTGTGTTCTTATGCTTAAACATTATAACAAAATCAATGGGGGCCTGATTGTCAATCTTCTATTTTGTTGATTGTAGAATATTTGTTCTCAAAGATTATAGGCTATTATTATCTACATACTTTCTATTTGGTTTTAGTCTTTTAAAGGGGAATGGATACACTTTAGGAAGTAAATCTAAGCAAAGAGATGTATTCAATCCATTAATCCTAAACATGTGCATTTAACATAAAAACATCTCTATATTTAGTGTTTTGATCGTCAACAAGGTTTATTTGAGCTATGGTCAGCGCCATTTTAAATTGCCATAGTAATGACTGACGCCGCACTGGCAGGAATCAGCTAATTGTCTGTGGTATTGAGTTTTCGCGCGGAGACTGAATCGAAGAGAGTGAGGTTAGGTGCGGACAACGAATATGGCATCAACAAGTAGTAATTCAAACATGAACTGGGTAGAGCCAGGCTGTATGAATTGGCTCCAAAAAAATCCCTCGGTAAACTACACCGGCTGCCCAAGGACCCACATCTTTTGAAGTGGCTCTATGTCCTGAAGAGGAAGGACGTGCCAGTTCGAGCTAGCAGGATCTGCAGGAAGCACTTTGCAGACGTAGACTTCGCGATGAAGGCAACCGGGAGTTTCCAAATGGAAAGGAGTCATATGCCTACGTTGAAGCACTCTGCTTGCGCCTCCATTTGACATTTCGAGGGTTATGGTGTAGGTGTTACCAACCGACCATCATCAACATCGCTGCCTTTGGAGTCAAGCAAAATCGACTGAACGGAGAAGGCGACGCGAGTCAATGCAATGGAGCCTGAGGTAACGTTAACTGGTCATGACTGTTGTTGACTTGGCTAGCGTTAGATACTGGACAACTTTGTTGCAACTCTAGTTGAAGGTAATGTTAACTAGCTAATTGCGTCTGAAGTGTTTTGTGTAACACACCCCAGCAAATAACGTTAGCAAGCAACTCAACTGCAACTAAAATTGCAACACAGTTTCTCCGTGTACCCCTGTTATTAAGTAGTTACTGTAGTTAGCTTCCACCTCAGATAGTCAAGTACAGTAATACATTTTATTGACAGATTTTGTTTTTGTAATGTTTTGTTAGCGCCACCTAATTTAGCTAGACTGAAGTTGATATAGCTAATGTTTGCTGAAATATAAATATGTCTGTCTGTGTGTGTGTGTGTGTATGTGTGTGTGTGGACAAAGAATAGAAGACAGGTAGATTGTTAATGCCAACTGATATATTTGGGTTCAGTTGTCTTAACAAAATATTTGTTTGTTTTCAGGATGACATCTTCATCCCTGAGAAGGGGTTCACCCTGGAGGAACTGTGCAGGAGGCAGAGGAGGTACATGTTATTTCTAAGGCTATTGTTTATTTTAAGTATATGCAGTGATTCTTGAATATAACTAATAGATGCCTTAATTGTTTTCTTCCAACAGATGGAGCTGACGGAGAGTGAGATCAGTGTTGACCATAACTCGCTGAATGAACCTGAGAGCTCAGAATCTCAATCAATCACAGTGCGAGCCAAGATATACAATCGATCACTTTGGGGGAGTGGGCTGGTGTTCCAAAAATGGAGAAGGAGCAGGCCATTCAACAGCGAATTCAAAGATACACCCATCCATAAAGGGAATCGGAGTGGAATTGTTTTTTCACTTGATTTTTTTTTTCCTGTTTCAACGGATGTGCTACCTTGTCCCGGTCCTGCTGTTTCGACTCTCTCGCTCAACCTATGAGTGCTCAGCTATGAAAAGCCAACTGACATTTGCTCCTGAGGTGTTGAACTGTTGCACCCTCTATAACCAATGTGGTTATTATTTTGATGTAAAAAGGGCTTTACATTTGATTGATTGTTTGCTGTGCTTGATGCTGTGTATTCACAAACTGTCTGATTGATGGGACATTTTTATAGTATCTGTAACATATTTTGGTGTGTATTTAATCTGCATCTTAACTTCTTAAAGTGCCAATCAACAGTAGAAACAATAACAGTGTCTCCCCGCTCCTCTTTGGGTAAAAAGCTGAGGGATGGGGCTGGAGAAATGTAACCACTCTCAAATTTATAGACAGAGATATATAGATGCAAGGACTGACCATCCATAATATCAAAATTGTAATCCTGTTTCTGTGATCTGTTTTCACTACCATGTACCCAGTTCTCTTTGGATAAAGGCGTCTGCTGAATGGCATATATTATTAAAGTCTCCTTTGACTCTACCAACTAGTTGCTCAGTGTAGTTACTATTCCTTTCCAACAGGTGGCAGCCAAAGCTAGTTGAAGGCACTACTCTAGCAACAGGGACACGGGATTAGTGCGCGTTGAAAGTAGTTTAATCTGCAAAGCAAATTGATCTGGTTACGTTCGAACCTGTCGTTATAGTGGACAAGCTAACAAATACTATTTCTACATAAGGCGCAGGCATTAGGTAGGTCTATGTCTTGAAAAAAATTACAGCAGACTAGATTTACAAAATGAACTGGTTTTATTCAAGCTCAAACCCTATGTAAATAGCTTTGCTTCTGGGTATGCGCGCTTTATAGAAGAAACGACACACGCAGGGATGAGACGCCGTACACCTCGTCCAATTCTCCCCTGTGCCCATAGGGTGAACTGGCGATAAACTGCCAGCCTCTATGCTCCGCAAACAAAATCATACGAAAAGTTAGTCTGATACCGAAATTAAATCACAATGTATTTATAACGAGCACGCTCCATAATTGGTTAGAATGATATTTCATGAATCATGATGCTGTCTGCAATTCGAACTCCGGTCGTCTAATCAAAAGGTAAATGTCTTACCATCGCAATCAGCTCTGATGATAAACCTCGTCATAGGATACTGATTATATATATTGAGCACCCACCCACTACTGATATTAACCTTAAACAATTTATAATCAAGCAACATTTCACAAATTATTTAACTGGTATATTGGCTGCTGACTGGTCGAGTAACCTCTTCTGCCAGGAAGTCCTTCACAAGGATTAGTGACACGTCCAATAAATACATCGCCATCCAGACAGATTTACAGGAACCTCTGACTGCATGTAATACAGCCACCATCCGCTGGGATTTTGTGCTGTATCGCCACCATCTCTCTACAACACACACACTCCTACTCTAGCCATTATCTGGCAGCATCCCCACTCACATCAGTTTGTGTTTGGCTACGCCGACCCTCTAGCTGAGCTGTTTCAGGCGGCATGTCTGTGTTGTTACTGCTACGAGAACGAACTATTTTTATCTGGGGCAACGATCGGCTCAAACATGAACGGCTTCAGTAGGTTTATTGGCTCCCTAAATAACATTATTTAATTCTCTGTAATAAACTCATTCTCAGACTCGGAGCTACTCGGTAAATTCAGCCATTTTTGGGAGTTCAAAAATCTTCTCTCCTGCCAGTGACGCAACAATGCCAATATGGCGATTTACAGTTAAAGTTTGCTGCCATTCTAAATCCTAGTGTTTCCATTCCCCTTTAAGTTTACACTGAAAGGGTTTATTTTTAATTTTTTTGGAATGGACAAAAAATCTCATCCCGCGACCCACCTGAAACCCTGCTGCGACTCACAAGTGGGTCCCGACCCACAGTTTGGGAACCACTGCTCTAAGTTACTGTTCTGTTACTAATGTCTGTCTGTCTGTTACTACACTGTTACTAATATTACTTCTGTAAGTCACTGTTAAACTCACACTTATACCTGTAAATTCCCACACTCAAACTGTTCACACATCTGGCGCCGACCAAGATGGCGGCCTCGCGACTAGCTCTTAGGAAACTGCGGTATTTCGTTTTTTATGCATTATTTTAGATATTACTGCACTGTTGGAGCTAGAAGCACAAGCATTTCGCTACACCCGCTATAACATCTGCTAAACACGTGTATGTGACAAATAAGATGTGATTTGATTTGATTTGACATAGATACTGTACATATTACACACATACCTCTTGTATCTAGTGTTTGATGTACAGTTTTAAAAGGAGCGACGTCTGAGTCCTTGTTTTGTCTGATGATGTTCCTTCTGATCTTCCACAGACCTGGATGGATTTCACCAAGGAGATCCGCAGGCAGGTTCAAGGTGAGGCTTCTGCTCTCATTGTGTAGTAGGGCCTATCTTGTAACCTCTTGCTAAATTCATGGTAATCATACTGTGGGTGCGTTAGTAAATTGCCTCCAGTGTCAGGCAGTGCGCTCTGGGCCATTCATAAGTTCAGAGCGTTTCTTTCTTGCGGCGCTCAGATGCGCACACTGGAGCGTTTTTCTGATCTCACAACGGAAGTCAAGCACCGAAGTTAACTGGCTAAAGTTTGCTTGCTAGCTTCTTCCCCGAACGTACCCTAAATGTGGAAAGGCTACTAAGCACACTGCCCTATACACCTCACCGTGACACTCCTGTTTCGTTTTCTGCTCCACCTACATAGGTGCAAAGTTAGACAAGATCTGTGCAGACGCACAATCATGTACAGGTGAGACGAAAATACCCTCGTCATTCATTACTCAGGGGGGGGGGGGTATTCATTAGTGCACACGTAGCTAAACGTTGTGCAACGAAAATGAGCGTTTCCTATTGGACAAGTTCATGTTAGTCCCTAACAGTCAGTTTCGTTCCATTTGGTGCCTATTGAATACGACCCAGGTTTTTTTTAAACATTGCTGTGCATGTTTCAGCGAGAGGAAAATATTTCCATGATTTGAATGTGTTTTCATGCCAGATTCTTTCCTTCAGGCACCAATTATGACTTCACCTTCAATGTAAAGTTCTATCCACCTGACCCAGCCCAGCTTTCTGAAGACATCACCAGGTAAACCTCTACCTGCTCCTACGTTTGGTTTCTCTCTGCTCCCTGTCTCTTGTTTGTCATTTCCCCAATCTGTCTGTCTGTCTATCTGTCTGTCTCTGTCTGTCTGCCTGTCTGTCTGTCTGGCTTCCTGGAAGCCCTGTGGTCTGTGACCTCATGCTGACCTCTAGCTATGTTGGTGTACAACAGGTATTCTGTGTATGTGTGTGTTTGTGTTTGTGTACGACAGGTATTCTGTGTGTGTGTGTGTGTGTGTGTGTGTTTGTGTACGACATGTATTCTGTGTGTGTGTTTGTGTACGACAGGTATTCTGTGTGTGTGTTTGTGTACGACAGGTATTCTGTGTGTGTGTGTGTGTGTACGACAGGTATTCTTGATAGGACATATGTTTTATTGTTAACGCAAACGTGTTTCTTTAAAGGAAGAAAGCTTCCATTGTCCTATCAGGAGTTGATCAGTATCTTCTCATCTTCAGTTTGTCAATGCACCTTGGTTTAAAAACGACTCAGCCACAGCCCTTTATTTTTCCTGGCATTGACAGGTACTACCTGTGTCTCCAGCTGCGTAAGGACATCCTGGGGGGCCGTCTGCCGTGCTCCTTCGTCACGCTGGCCCTGCTGGGTTCCTACGCACTGCAGTCAGAGCTGGGGGAGTACGACCCAGAGACACACGCACCAGACTACGCCAAGGACCTGAGGCTGGCCCCGGGACAGACCAAGGAGCTAGAGGAGAAAGTCATGGAGCTGCACAAGACATACAGGTCAGGATGGGTTTTAAGACACACACACACACACAAACACACACAACACACACACACACACACACACACACACACCAAACACACACCACACACACACACACACACACACACACACACAACACACACACACATACAAACACACCACACACAACACACAACACATACACACACACACACACACACACAACACACACATACACACACACCACACACACACACACACACAACACACCCAACATACACACCACACACACCACACCAACACACACACAACACACACCACACACACCACACACACACCCACCACACACACACACCACACACACACCAACCCACACACACCCACACACCACACACACCAACCACACACACCACACACACACACACCACACACACCCATATCACACCACACCCACACACACACATTCCACACACCCCACACCTCACCCCACCACCACCCCCACCACACCCACACCCACCACACACCACACACACACACACACACACACACACACACACACACACATACTGACATAGAGACACATGACATACAGTATATTCAACAGAATGCCCACACACAAGACCTACAGTTTAGGAGGGAGGGGGTTGTACTGGGTGCATAGGGTCACCTGACAGTTTAGGAGGGAGGGGGTTGTACTGGGTGCATAGGGTCACCTGACAGTTTAGGAGGGAGGGGGTTGTACTGGGTGCATAGGGTCACCTGTGTGCACTGTTATGTAAATCACTGTTATGTAAATTATTGTTATGTAAATCATTGTTATGTAAATTATTGTCACAGCAGGAATGTGCTACTCATAATTAATCTGTAATGCCAGAGTCATTCGTGCTACTGTATGATACCATTGCGTCTTGCTGATATGGTATCTGTCCTGTCTACAGGTCAATGAGTCCAGCACAGGCAGACATGGCCTTTCTGGAGAACGCCAAGAAACTAGCCATGTACGGAGTGGACCTGCACCAGGCCAAGGTAACGTAGTCACAACCCAGGCCAAGGTAACGTAGTCACAACCCAGGCCAAGGTAACGTAAGTCACAACCCAGGCTTTTTATAGCGTTTGGTTAGCTACAGTGCTAACACTTTTTATAGCTTTTAGTTATAAGTTAGCTACAGTGCTAACTTGTTTTCTAGCGTTTGGTTAGCTACAGTGCTAACGTTTTTTGTAGCGATTGGTTAGCTACAGTGCTAACGTTTTTTATAGCGTTTGGTTAGCTACAGTCCTAACACTTTTTATAGCGTTTGGTTATAAGTTAGCTACAGTGCTAACTTGTTTTCTAGCGTTTGGTTAGCTACAGTGCTAACTTGTTTTCTAGCGTTTGGTTAGCTACAGTGCTAACGTTTTTTGTAGCGATTGGTTAGCTACAGTGCTTACACATTTTCACTACTAAAAAGTCAATATGAAAATGCTGCATATTAACATCACATTGTTGTTGATGTGTGAATAATGTGTAAGTTCTAACTAGTTTTCACAAGACTATAGGTCAGGATGGGTTTTAATACACACACACACACACACACACATACACACACATACACACACACACACACACACATAAACACCTCCATTGATGAAGATGCATTGGTAGGAGACTAGGAGTGCATGTGTTTTAGCCCAGATAGTCGTGTCCTCCCGTCTGTCCACTGGAGTCCAGTTATATCACATCTGTCCTATTAACCACAGAGTAGAGCAGACCTGACGACGATAACAAGGATATGGGCTGCGTCCCAAATGGCACCTTATTCCCTTTGTAGTGCACTACTTTTGACCAGAGCCCCTCAAAAGTAGTGCACTATATAATACTTCTACATCTGCATGATGGGTTTCTGTATAAGCACACTGTGACATCTGCTGATGTTAAAAAGGGATTTATAAATACATTTGATTTGATTTGATATAGGGAATTGGGTGCCACCTGGGACATCATGGTGTTTTACGTAGTTAGGTTACTACCTCCCGAGTGGCGCAGTGGTCTAAGGCACCTGCATCGCAGTGCTAGCTGTGCCACTAGAGATCCTGGTTCGAATCCAGGCTCTGTCGTAGCCGGCCGCGACCGGGAGACCCATGCGCACAATTAGCCCAGTGTCGTCCAGGGTAGGGGAGGGAATGGCCGGCAGGGATGTAGCTCAGTTGGTAGAGCATGGCATTTGCAACGCCAGGGTTGTGGGTTCGTTTCCCACGGGGGGCCAGTATGATTTAAAAAAAAATAATAATAATGTATGCACTCACTAACTGTAAGTCGCTCTGGATAAGAGCGTCTGCTAAATGACTAAAAATGTTATAACTCCTCTCTGCTGCAGTGTAACCTACGGCAGCTGTGAAGTCAGTGTTCGTGTCTGTTCCCAGAAAAGGGAGAAACGCGTGCCTCTGTCAGACCACTGTTTTAATAGCAGAAATGAGGTCAATCTGTTTGCATCAAAACCAGGGATTTAAATAAAATATGGCAGTCATTATCCTGAAAGTGTGGTTGATGCTGGATCCCAGTGGTTGGCTGGTGTCATTGCATTAACATGCAGTCAATGTTAAGTCAATGGTATACTGTAAATCTGTTAGCAAACTGTAAATCTGTGAGCAATCATGAAAATGTAGGGTCCAGCAGACTTGCAGTTGAAGAGTTTTACTATCTCTCTCCTCTCTCTCTCTCTCCTCTCTCCTCTCTCTCTCTCCTCTCCTCTCCCCTCTCCTCTCTCCCTCCTTCTCTC